TGACCGTCAACTGTACAACCTACTGGTAGAATCGGATACGCCAACTGTGCCCTGGGTCAGACTGCTATATCCCCGTCCGGCCCAATTTGACGCACAGACCAATTTATATCGTCTGTTCTTTAAACAGTCTAAAATGCAGAGATCGCGTAACGTTTGCGTGACTAGGATCCGTATTCCCACGCTTATTGGCAGTGTTTCAATCGGCTGCGGAATTAAGTCACTTAAATAAGAGCACGAGAGAAAGGTTTATACTTCATTAAAGTCAGCAAAACGGTTCAGGAGTTGAATCCTTGAATTTTCTGAGGTGCATTTGCGGCGTTTCGAAGATCTTGACTGAATATTCCACATTCAGTTGTTTTTTCCGAAAGTTGGAACTCACAGTAGTCATGGGGACACATAAAACCTTTCATACCCTCCCCTTATATGCTTACGTAGAAGAAATAGTGTATACTAAATAAACATGCGTGCCAATTTATTAATAGCTGACCTTCCAACCGATCAACTGGAGAGTGATCGCATTCAAAGCTACCAGTTAAGTAGTGCGCACTAACTTGCTAAGACTTGGTTCACCACGGTGTAAATTTAATTCAAATAAATGGTTTTCGAAAAAACCGATTCAGCGTAAAATTTGGAGTATTAAACCAAATCACAGTGTTACTGAAAGGTCTAGCGCATTATATATTTTGAAATAATACTTTTTAAAAAATGCGTACAGCAGAATATTATTAGGCCCTTTCACGGTATCATATGAACACGTCGTTTTTTAGATATATGCCCCTTTCAACTCTTAGACATTTTAATAGATCTTAGGGAATCAGATGGTATCCAGAATAAAAGGAAGTGTAGACATTTGGGTTGTTTCTGAGAATTGTAAATGAGTACAGGACATACTGGGACAATCCTTTGTATAAACTTTTTATGAAAACTTCTTAACAAACCGCAGGACTATATAAAGGTGGAGGTGCTTTACGAGTTATGCATCCAACAGCTCACATACAGCTAAAACTGTTCAATCTTCAATTCGAAAGAAAGAGTTAAATACATTGAAGAACGTGTCGTACCTCCTTAGATGACATACATTGGGAGCCAAATTTCCGCGAAAGTCGTATATCACTTAGCAGAATTACGATTGCAGCAAAAAACTCCATCCTTTGCTAAAGCGAATAAAAATAATTTAATTTTCATTTCACGGGTAGTTGAGCCCATTTTTTCGCCCCACTTGAAATACCCGTTTATAAAACTTCACTCTTCAAAATATGTTCACATAAAGACCATATACATAAATATGCGCATATATTCAAGGTCCAGATATAATATCCTGTTCATCATCTTTGGAAGCGGAAGTAGAAGAGAGGGCATGTGCTGGGACCACATTACATTCATGCTGACGTTTCAAAAACACATCCGTTTCATCTTCAGATTACCGAGCTTACTCTTCCGTGGACCAGATATATATATACCTAAGAGAGTAGAGACCTCAACGATCTGGTTCAGTTGGGCCCTGGAGCTCATTTTAGAGCCTTCGAGGATGGCCGCATAGCAACGTATGGTATATATGGTGGAAAGGAGGCACCGACAAAGACAGCGGAGACAGATTCGCCATTTCTGGCTTAGTAACCGTCATCAGCCAGTCACACCTAATCCCAGGCTTGGATCACCCGAGATTCGCACCTGCGACCTTTGGTCATTGAGTGAAACAGTTTACGTTTGCACCACAGGCACGTTCTGTTTATCGTTTGCGAACGGAAATATAATAAGAATAGTGGGCTCACCCATCTGGTTAAGGAAAACTATGTTTCGTTGTATACTGGAGCTTACTAGACAGCCACAACAAGCAGCCACATATGGACTCTTGAGTGAGCTTCAGGACATAACGGAACGCTCTGTTCCTTAACTAGATCCGTAAGACCCCTGCCCTCACCATCCTCTTAATCGAAAACGATAAACAAAACGAGCCCATGGTGCAATGGTTCGAATATCAGTTCGAATATCGGGAGTCTCCACGCCTGAGATTGGGTATGAATAGCCGATAAAAACTAAGAAGCCAAAAATGATCATTCTGGTCTCCCGTGCTTATCTCGCTGTGCGACTGCCCGCGGCGGCTCTACATTGAGCGCCAGGACACAACGAGACGACTATGTTCCCTAACCAGAAGGATCGGTGAGCGCCCTACTTCCGTCAAATTCCCGATCGTAGCCGACAAAAGCAACGGTTCCGTGGTGCTGTGGTAGAGTGTTACACTCATTGACCACTGGTCGAGGATTCGAATATCGGGAGTCGCCACCCCTGGGATTTATTATGAATAACTGATAGCCTTTTCAGTCTCCCTTGTCTTTACCGGTATCACCTTATCGCCCTTCACCAGCACGAGAACCGTGCTGGCTTACCATGTCAATAAAACTGTATATACACATATATAGTTTTAAATTTGCGAAAATTCCCATTGAAAATTTTAGAAGATGAAATGGCGAACATACGT